AGTGAGTTTAAAGATAGTCTTTACGATTTTATTACTCCTTGCAATAATTTAATGTTTTTTTGTGCCTTAAATTATCCCGAGGAGTTGCCAGACTTTATTCGCGACCGATTTACCATGATTGAAATTAAACCCCCTTCTTATCAGCAAAGGATAGAAATTTTGCGGGGTCTATTAATGAGTTCTTTGAAAAAATTTGATGAACCCTTTCAAGGGATTTACCACCAAACTTGAAAACAAATCTACGATGTTTTTAACCGAGAAGAATTATTAAAAAAGGCTTTGACTAAAACTTTAAGTATTCGAGGTGCCAAGGATAATATTGCTAATTTGATTAATCGAATGCGGGTTGATTTCTTAATGCCGGAAAAAACTCTTCCTTCCGATGTAGTTAACTACAATTGAGGATTTCGACCAAAGGAAGAAGATGATATTGGGGATAAAAGAAGAGGCCGCCTCCCTTGTCCTTTTGGTGAAGAAAGAAAAGAAAGGGGGAGTTCCAGTTTAGAACACCGAAAAGGCTGTAAGTGTTTTTTAAACAACTTAAATAGAGTGCCAGGCTGAGTTGAAAATATGGGGACTAGTTAACTTGTATAAAATAACAATATAAATAAAAATATGATAGAATTTAAATAGTCAGCAGTTTTCGATAAAATTTCTTTACTTTTTCATCACAACTTATTTTGCTTTCTGAAAATCCAATAACTTGTAGATATTTTAGGGAAGCGAAGTAATTTAATTTTCTCAAATGCTTTTTAAAATCCTCTTCTCTTTTATTTCTTGATAATGAATGAATTCTTTTTGATTTTCTTTACTTATTTCATCTTTTTTCAATTCTTCAACAAACTCTTTTTGGATTTCCAAAGGCGGTAAGGTAATTGAATAATCACCAACAAAATTAGGTTTAATTCTCTGTTGGCCTACTGTGCCTGTCATAATAGTTTTTCCAACTTCTAAAAAATCAGAATTTCGCAGTCAGTAATAAACTCATTCTATCAAAACTCCCTCTTTGGCTCGCAAAACAATAAATTCGGTAGAACCAAAACCAATTCTGTTTACCAAGTTTTTAGCAATGCTCATTTTCCCGTTTTCGAAACAAGGAGTAATTTTAGCAATCAGTAAATCATTTTCGGCAAAGTAAGTATAACTTTGATAAACTTCTTCTATTTTTCTAACTTGTTTAGGACAAACTCGCAGCGAATATTTTTCTAAGTCCTCCATCGGCAAGAAAGAAACTTTAATACCTTTTTTGTCTTTTATTTCTGATTTTGAAGGATTTGCATCGCATATATCTCTAATCTTCTTGGTTTCATAAGAGAGAGAGAGAGAGAGAGAGACGATTATTGAGATTATCGATAATTTGCTGGGAATTTTTAATATTTTGCTTGATTTTAGCCAATTCCGTGATAACTTTTTCTTGTTCCTCCAAAGATGGCACTGGGATTTTTATCTTACAAAAATCAGTGAAATTTATACTTGGCCGAGCTGTGCCACGAAAAAAAGCATCCGCTTGCTCCCGAAATTTTTCGGACTGACAAACACAAAAGAGATATTCAGGTTTAATTTTATTTTCATGTTTAACTTTAAATACTGGATAATAAGCAGTGATACAACCAGTCATTTCTTTATCATTATAACAAATATAACCTACATTAACTCCGGGCGGTCGGTAAGCAAAATGCCGAGGAGGAACCAATTTATAATCGGAAGTGTCTTTGGCCGCTACTCTTTCTTTAAATCTTTCTTCTTGAAGAACAAAATTATCTTGCTTGGTTACGCTTCATAAAGGACAGTTAGTTTCTTTCCTCAGAATAACTACTTCTTCGATTAGTTCACTTAAAGGAATTATTTCATGTTTACTCTCTTCAAAATCAAACTTTTTATAGAGACCAGGAACACTAATGAAATGGTTTTTCTCTATTTCTCCCATCTCTATTTTTTGAAAACCATTTTTCAGTTTTTCTTCTTCATTTCGATCTTTGAATTTTCAAAAAATATCAAAATCATTCTCCCCCTCCCTTTCTTCCCTTTTATTTTCGCTAAATCCATCATTTTTAACTTTAAAATGTCAAACTTCTTTTTGTTTTCTTTCTTTAAGGGCAGTTAAGTAGAGGATAACTGCATTTGAATTAGCATAAGGCTTAAAAGCAAAAGGGGGCAAAGAGATCAAGTATTCAACATATCAATTTTGGTAAATATGCTGGCGTAAATCGGTATATTTGCGGTCATGTAAAATTCCTTCTAAAGTTATTAAAACTATTCTCCTTTCATCATAATTTTTTTTAGTAGCATCTAAACAATGTTCAATACAAAGGCTATTGCCGTTGGCTTTTCCTAAGTAGTAATTATCTTTGTATTCTTCAAAAGGACCTTTTAAAGAAAAAGGCATATTAGTGATTACTATGTCATATTGATTACTGGCTGGAGTTTTTAAACTATTTTTTCTTTCAATATTATTATGACCATCGCCGGTTAAAATCATGTTCATTTTTGCTACTCGTGCCGTAGAAGTAACTTCATTTCCTCAAACCGTTTTTTCCTTTAAATTATACCATTTTTTAGCATCATTTTTGGGAATTCTTTCGGCAATATAATTAAAAACTTTGATTAAAATTCCACCCGTGCCACAAAAAGGGTCGTAAACAGTTTCGTGAGGTTTTGGGTCGGCTAATCGAACTAGAAAATTAACGATGTGGCGAGGAGTGAAATATTGTCCCAAGTCTTTCTTTTGACCTTTAATAGCCTCTTTAAGAAAATATTCAAAAGCTTCTCCTTTCACATCAATATCGATACTAACTAATTGAAGAGGAGTTAATTTATCAATAATTCGTTTTAAAGTGGCTGGGCTATTAATTTGAAGTCGTTGAAAAATATCTTCGCCATATTTGCTTTGAAAGCAACAAAACTTATCTTTTTTATGTTGTCCGCAATTTAAAGCACTATTTACATAGTCTAACAAATCCTCTCCTTGCTTGTCTTGAAAAGCCTCTCATTGTAGTTTGGGAGGAATAATTTTACTCTCTGAACGCCGTTTGTCTTTTCTTTCCTTTTCCTCTTGTTCACTGAGGATTTTTAAGAATAGAATGCTACAAAACTCGCTAAATCTTTCATGACCTTCGGTTAAGCCATCATCCCTTAATTGATTATTAGCAAAAGAAAAGAATTCAATTAACTTTTCCCGATCCTTAATGGCAATAATTTTCCGAGGATTGTATTCGTTCTTATCAATAAAATGTAAAGCGGTTTCTAAATCAAGTAAAAAATCGACTTCTTTTCCATCAAGATATAAGGGTTTATCAATTTTTAAGTGTCAAGTTTTGATAATTTTCTTTTTGGGATTGCCAACAATTGCATAAGCAATTGGGGAATTCCTTTTTCGAGCATAGTTTTTGGCTTGCTCCAACGCATTCTCTAAATTTTGTCCGGTTCTTTTGGCTTCAATGGCAATTAAAGGATCTACCCAATTTTTTGGTTTAAGAATATAATCGGCAAAAGTTTGAGAAGAGTATTCTTCACCAAAAACATTTTTCTTTTTGCCTACTAACCGCCAACCTTTGTTTTTTAAATCCGCATCAATCTCCATGCGAATATCGGCCTCAGTTAGTTTTGACATAATTTTTATTTTAAACGATTAATATTCTACCATTTTATTTTCTCTTCTTTTTTCTAACTAATACAATAACTATTCCTAAAACGGCGATTATTCCTATTCCACCAACTATTCAAGGTCAAACTGGTTTATTAGGGCTTTGTTCGGATTGATTTTTAAGTTTATTAATTTCTTGCTCTAATTCTTGCTTATCCATTTTGCTTTTCCCTACTTTCTTTAAATAATCTTTAAATTTCTTCCACATAGTTTTTTGTTCAGTGTCCATTAAGGTAGAAGTTTCTGATAGTTCTTCATCAGTAATAGTTTGAGGAGGAGGAGGAGGACTATTTGGATTAGCAGTTGGCTTATTAAAGGTAATTATTAAGTTTCCATTTTCATTAGTGATGGAGTGGATGTTGTTGGCGAGGAAGTATTGTTGGAGTTGGGTGAGAGTGGATAAAAGGATTTGCGATCCTTGCTGGTTAGGAAAAGTCTTTTTTGAACAAGTTGGACAAGGTTTAATGTCTCCAAAAGAATTTTTCCAAGTTTCTTTTCCACAATTACATTCTGTCGAAGTCCAAGAAAGTTCATGTTGCTGCCCTTGCCCATCATTAAACAACCAACCACCTGAATTATGGATATCCTTTTGACAAAGTTCTTTTACTTTTTCTTTGGCTTTAACTTCTCAATCTTTTAATTTATCATTAATGAACTTCTTACAAATATCGCAAATTTGACCTGATTTAACTCTATAAAACTCGTTTCAAACTGGAACAGTGGATGCTCCTTGGCTAGTTGCACCATTACAAATTTCATGATGCTCTCGACCTTGCTTATCTACTTCTGTTCCATTTTCATTAATATAAACTTTTTCCCGATGGTTTACAAAGCACTCAAAAATAGAACATTGAGTTCGGTTAGGGAGGTGTCCACAAGAACATTCTTTTTTTTCTTTTAACTCATATTTATTTGGTTCGGCTTGAACTTTTTCTTGGGCTTCTTTATATTGTTTTTCGCATAAGGCACAATTATTTAGTCAATTTGGTGGTCATCCCTTACCATTGCCCTGATTTTGCTCTCTCTCTCTCTCTCTCTCTCTCTCTCTCTCTCTCCTATTATTTCTTTTAATTCTTTAATAACTTGGGAAAGAGTATCTAAAAATTTTGGGCTTCTTTCATACATTTCTCTCATCTTCACAAAATCTTTTACTTCTTCTTCTTGAGTTGTTTTAGAAAAAACATAAACTCCAAAAGGAAAATGTCTACTAAATCCACTTCAATCTACTTTTCTATCATGGTCAGGCAAGGCTTCAATTAAAGGTAATAACTCTTGGGCTGTTGCCTTATCTATTTTACTTAATAATAAAGGACTTTGTGGCTGTCAACCATACTCAGAACGAAAACCAAAATTATCTTTTAAGTTATCGTTATAGGTATTCATTACTTTTTCAATTATTTCTTTGATTTGTGGAGACTTATTATTATGTGCCATATTTTTATATTGATTATTAATTTTTATTTCTCTCCTTATTATCTTTCTTTTGCTCCAACTTTTTTTTTAACTCTTCATTTTCTTTTTTTAACTCCTTGATTTCTAAATCTTTACGAGCTATTATTTCCTTTTTAAGGGTTATTTCTTGCTCTTTGAGAGCTATTTCTTGTTTGTATAACATATCCTCCAATTTTATTATTTTTTGATTTGATTTCTTTTTGTCAATTCGATATTTGAGATAAAAGATTAATAAAGGAACTAAACTAATTAAAACACTGACTATTCAACCAATAATATCTTTGCTAGTAATTGAACCACTTTTCACTTTATTCTTTCTTTTATTTACAATTTATATTCAACCTCTAACTTGCCTTTACATCTTACATCATATATATATTATTTTAATTGTATAAATTTTTTTTCTATACAAATTAAGACTAAAAATAATTTAATAATGACTAATTCTGCTGATTATTTTCGTGAATACAATCAAAGACCTAAAAGAAAAAAATATCTTGCTGACAAATCCTTAGAAAGATATCATAAAACAAAAAAAGGAGTGGGTAATTTAATTTGTCCGAATTGCCAAACAGTTCAAGAATTCAATTTAGTAATTAAGAAGAAGAAATTAACCTCCTAAATCTTTAATAGTCTGTTCTATTTCGAACAAAAAACACTCATAAGTTCTACCCTGACTTCCTGACAACTCTATTCACTTTTTTTGGTCTTTCTTACAACGATTTTCCCAAGCATGATGTAGTGCCTTTTCTAATTCTCTTCACTTGGCCAATTCCGAAGGTTTTTTTTCTAACTTGATGTCATTTCCCTCAATATATTTAATAGTCATATAGATATTTTTCAAAAATTAATTAATAATGAGAGCCTTTATTCGCTGGATATTTTTTGAAAACAAAGATTTGAGAATGTTAATCAAAAATGATGAAAATAACGAAAATTGACCTAATGCTAAAACTTATGGCGACACAGTTTTTAAAGATTGAAAAAACCAAATTGACAACCAACAAAAAGAAATTAACCAATTAGAAATTAAAAACAACCGAACCCGTGAACTAATGACCGAGGTTCAAAAATGATTTATTGAAGAACATAACCTCCTCAGTAAACCAGCCAAAAGAGCTTTATTGGAAAAAGAAAAAGAACATTTTAGATTAACCCAAGAATTAAAACTTCACCAGCATAATTTAGACAAACCCAAAACTCCTTTGGAAGAATATGAAAAGCAATGTCTACTAAAAAAAATTGAGATTGGTCAAAGAAAACTTGACAAATGCGAGGGTGAAATGAAAGAACTTGGAGAGGCTTATCAAATTGAAAAACGAGAACTCTGTAAGCGTTTGGCTTATGACAAAGAAGATATTCCAGATGCTTTTTTAAGAAATCCCGAAGAACGAATTGACCCAATTACTAGACAATTAGTGATTAACCACGAAGATTATTCGAAATGATGAAGAAATTTTTTTGATATTGACCGAGAAAGTAAACCTCTTGCCGAATTAAATGAGCGTATAGATGCATGATACGAACACAATGAAGGCAAAGGAGCTGAATATAACCCCTATGAAATTTGAGTGGAGGAGAAAACTGATGATAGTATTACTTTTTTGTGAAAGCCGGTAGAACGGGAGTTGGAGAGTCTTAATGAAAAGGGAGAAAGAGTAAAGGTTAAGGGGCAATATTTAGCACTTTGTAAAAATTATCTTTTCAATTATTACGGAGAATGATATGAAGTTTCTGACTATTATCAAACAAATTATACTTCAACAGTGATTATAGCACAAAAGAGTATTTTTTACAATAGTTACTATCATTTATTGAAAAGCCAAGCCAATTTAATTGTTCATCATTCTTCCTCCTTGGCAAAAACGGAAATTTGTTCCTGCCCCAGTTACGAAGTTTACACCAGTCGGAATGATTTTGATTTAGAATATGAATTACTTTTTGATTTTTACAAGTTAAGAAAAAGTGAAGCAAAAACGAAATGAATGATTAAAGATCCAGAAATTCCTTTTATCTGTGGAGGATTGCCTATAAAAGTTGATAATCTTGATGAAGAGTGGGGAAATTTGACTAATCTTTGAAATGATCTCACTTTTAAAGGAGCGATATATTTTTTGTTTTCAAAAAACCTCAAAAACGGATCCTTTAAATCCAAAACTTTCAATTGTCCTATCATTCCAGAGCAAGCTCCAATTCCCACTAAGGAAACACCTAATGTTTATTTCAAAAGAGTATCAAAATATGACATTGCCAAAAAAAATTAGTTCACTAGATCCTAATAAAACTTTGGGAGCATTTTTGGAAGGAAACAAACTTTTGGATATTGAAATGTGGCATTTTTTGAGACATCATATCAAAGTTACCTTATTTTGGCGGAAAATACCGATTTGACAAGGTAATTATTGAGACATTCATCATCATGACTCAGCAAATTTAATGAGAATTACAGAAAGCAGCTCAGCAGCCGGAAATTATGTAACTATCGAAGGAAGTGGCATGGTTTTGGCGAGGGTTAGAGAATCAGTTTCAGTTCAAGTAGTAGGGAATGATGTAATGAAAGTTATTATGTCAACAATCATTACGGTAGGAACTGTGGCGGCAACGGCAATGATTCCGGCTACGGGGGTTACAAAGGCAGCACTTGCGGGAGCAGTCGCTAGAAAAACAGTGGCTATCAATGTCGCGGGGGGGGGGATGATGCAACAAGCATCTAATATTCTAATGGACTCGCCTTCTTTTCACGAAATATCAGAAACCATGAACATTCATGAATTTAAACATAAATATCTATTCAGCAAAACTCGCCCGATTTCATTAAGAATAGAATACAACCAAGAGTTAGCCAATCAATATTTAAACAAAAGGGAATTGAAAGGTCCGATGCTCTATTCTTACACCAATCTTGAACATCTCGGCACTCTGCTTGCTCAAAAAGATTATTTTAAAGCCTCCGTTATTTCTTGAAACATGACTCGAAATTCAGAATGATTTAGAGAAAAAATTGAAAATGGAGTTTATCTTTATGACCATGATTACCAAGGTTTTTATAAAAAGAAACTTAGTGATGATGTAATAGCGACTAGCCAAGGAGGAGTTACTCGCGGCCACTGAGATGAATTCATTTTTATAGATGAAACGGAGACAAAAGTTTTGATAACTGCTGATGTTTCTAATGCTGACTATAATAATGTGGATTATATTGGTTCTTCTGATCCTAATATTTGACAAGAAATAAATCGGGCTAATGGCGGGGTTCATCCTGGTCACACTCCTTTTCCTAACAACTGTTTAGGTTGCTTATTAGGAGGAGGCTCGGAGCATTCTAATTGAAAAGGAAATCAAGATTTTGTTTATAATTTCACTAGCGGAGGCACCGTAACTCTTAAAACAAGAGGCAGCGGACCACAATCATGCACTATTCCCAGCCAAGGAGGTCAAGTTACTCTTGAAATTCGGGGTAGTTCAGCTAGATTGATAATGAAGATTAAGAAAGAAACTTCAATTAAAAATCCAGTCGGTAATCCAGAAGGTATTCCTCCAAGCACTCAATTACCAACTGACCCAAATACCACCAACATTCCGCCCGCTATCCCCTTCAACCCCAACCAATTCCCTCAATCTGGCAATCTAATCCCTAATCCAACTGGTTCAGGTGAACAAGAATTTGCTGTCCCTGATATTGATATTGGCCCTGACCCCGATTGAGACCAAGGAATTGATATTGACCCCACACAAGACATTGATCCAACCCAAGACCCTGATAAACCAACTGATCCTGATGTTCCTCCTGATGATGATCCACCAGATGACCCTGATTAATGACCCCAATTTAGAAAAAAATTACAATGGAA